GAGGGAACTGGATAAGCATATGGAGCAGAGGTTCATCAGTGGCTATTAGCCACAAGGTATAGATAGGAACTCTCAGACTGGGGCAAGTGATGCTTTGTGTTCTTGGTGCTGGGGGGGGCAGTGGGAGGGCTTCTAGTGTCCTGGCCCCACTGCTGGACCTCCTGATGGCACCTGGTATTTTTGGCCACTGTGTGACAGAGTGTTGGACTGGATGAGCCATTGGCCTGATCCAACATTGGCTTCTCTTATGTTCTTATCACAAGCAACTGCAAAAAAATCCCTAGCCAAACACAAACATAGCTTGCTGTGCTTGCATATGGCCCTTGCTCCTTCCTGCCCAGATTCGGAATCCTGGCATGTATATTTATTGTTATTTATTTATCATTATTTATTGCATTTCTAAACTGCCCTCCCAGGAGGGCTCAGGGCAATGTGCATCGTATTTAAAATATGGTTCAGTTAAAACCATTCCAAAGTATAAATTAATTTAAATTAAAACCCAATAATCTATCATGGTTTCCAGTAAACTGGTGAAACCATTAACCTTCAGTCCTAGATGGCGTTCTGCATGTGGTCGCTTCTTCCAGGGGGCGGGATCCTGGGCTTGATGAGATGGGAAAACCGTTGCTGTCCTCAACCATTGGCCTGGCAGAATATCTCTGTTTTCCATGGCCTGCGGCACTGTCAAGGTCCTGCAGGGCACGGATTTCTCCAGGCAGAGAGTTCCACCAGGCAGGAACCAGGGCTGAAAAACCCCTGGCTCTCTGGTCAAGAACAGCTCGACATCTCCTGGGCCCAGGATCACCAGGAGATTTTGATCTTGTGAGTGTAGCGCTCTCCAGGGAACATGCAGTCCCACAGGTACATTGGTCCCTGACTGTTTAGGGCCTTAAAGGTTAAAACCAGAACCTTGAAGCAGATGTGGTACTCAACTGGGAGCCAGTGCAGCTGGCAAAGCACAGGCTGGATATGTGCCATCATAGGGGGCCTGTCAGCACCCACGTGCCGCTGCACTCTGGACCAGCTGTAATTTCTGGGTCATCCGCAAGGGTAGCCCTATGTAGAGAGTGTTACAATAATGCTTTTAAATTGTTTGTTATGTATTTTATACTAAAATGTATACCGTTTAATTGTTTTTATGTAAGCCGCCCTGAGCCTGCCTTGGCGGGGAGGGCGGGGTAAAAGTTAAATAAATAAATAAATAGTCTAACCTTGAGGTGATCGTTGTATGGATCACCGTAGCTACGTCAGAACAATAGAGGCAAGGGACCAGTTGCCTGACTGGGCAAAGTTGGAAAAACGCTAGCTTGGCAACCTTCGCAATCTGGGCCTCCATAGATTAAGGAGGTGTCCAGAAGCACACCCAGACTCCTGACCACTGGCGCTGGTGTTAGTGGCACACTGTCCAGAGCAGGGAATTGACCTCCTAGCCTCAGGTCGCTCCCACCCAGCCACAGGACCCGTCTTTGACGGGTTTGGTTTCATCGGCTCTGTCGGAGCCATCCAACCATGGCCTCCAAATTCTCAGCCTAGTTTGGTGGGACAGTGGCTGGCCAGCCACCCATCAACAGATAACAACAACAACAAAAAAGATACAGTTGGGTGTCATCAGCGTACTGATGGTAGCCCAGCCTGGGCGAGAGGGCGCATGCAGATGTTGAACAACATAGGAGAGAGGACTGCCCCTTGGGTGTCAGGGTGATACCCCCTCTCCAAATTCCATCCTCTGTCCCTGACCATGGAGGAATGGGGTGAACCACTCCAAGTCTACCCCACGGACTCCTACGTCGGCGAGGCAGTGGGACAAAAGATCATAGTTGACCATGTCGAATACCACTGTCAGGGAGGTTAGAGACCTAATTACCCTAAACAATTGTGCTAGGCGAGAGCTAGCAGACGCGATGGAGGCTGTGAGAAAATCTCTCTTCACATCCTTCACTGCCATCTCATAGGTTTTCATAAATGACCTATAGGATGTTCTTGCAGCTTTGTCACAAGACCACACTCGCTTCATACCCCTGAGCTCCACTGTGTACCACAGAGCCATGTAAGAAAGAAACAAGCCCAAATTCAGTGATGTTTGCTGCAATCAAACATTATTACCAATTTATTATTGTCAATTTACCTGCTCACACAGGGAACACTTACATCAAACTCCACATGAGGAGAGAGGAGTGATACACATCTGAACACAGCAACAAACTGAGTTACTGTACAACTGGCATTTCACTGCAGTTTGTTATGGTCTGAGTGACTACCGTAACCTGTTAAGCCTACAATGAAACGGACCTGTTTCTGGATTTTTGTTTCTGAAACTGCTGGGCAATACGGTAAATATCTAAAGGCATCACACCATTGCTGACGTTTTATAAAATATTTAACGGGGGAATTAGGTTAGAAGATTAACACAAAACTGTTTAGCAGTTCTCAATCAACTAGATAGCGCTGCTACTTAAGGAGTGGGTGTCAAAGCAATTCAAGAAGTGGAGGCCAAGTAGTCAGTCCCTGCCCTAATTTCACAAAACAGCCCTACCTACTTGTGGTATGCCACTAAGATTTTCTGGGAGACCTTTGGCCAGTCTCTTTTAGCCTAACCTCCTTCAACCCTGTGACATAGGTTAAGGCTAATACACTAGTCAAAGGTCCTTGGAAGGAAAGTGAGATAAAGTACTAGATAGGTTATAGTGGCACAAGAAATGCATTCTTGTTTTCTCTACCCTCATATTGGTATGGGTAGGAAAACATAATAGTAGGTGGAGTCAGAAGTAGCACAGGAGTAGATAGGACACATTAAATGATTCAGAATTTGATAAAGTATTCACAAGGGTTCCCAGGAAATCTTTTATCCAGACGTTTCTTATGGATGCTTACAGGACTCTCATCTGCCAGTATTTTCCCTGAATTTTGGAATTCAATATTACCAAACTGGCAGATAATATTAGAATCTGCAGTTCTTCTTGATCGTTATTTCTGCAATTAGTGCTGTAAATAAGATGGACTCACACAGGAAAGAGGAACCCATTATTAAACTAAGCCCTGGGTTTATTAAGGGGAAACAAGTAACTCAAGGGAATTCTTCTTCCTTTTCTGGAAAGAAGGGAGTTCTGTTATTTGTTTAACTCTTCTCATGAAGAAAGCAAAAATGGAAAGGGGAAAGGAGGGAGCAATTCTCTTTCTTCCAGGGAAATAAAATATTTTTACTACTTTTTGGGGGGGATATTTTATTCTTTTTTGGGGAGGGGGAATAATTTTTGCACCAGAGTTCCAGCAGTTAACGCAAAAGATTTTTTTTTACTGTGACATGATAAAAAGGGGGGAAAGGTTGTGCAAATGAATATAACATAAAACACATTTCCAAGACCTCACTTTCCCAAAATGTATTTGTACACTATTACTGTTATGGGAGGAGGGGAGGGGAAAATAGAGAACTAGGAAAAGGAACATATAGGATACTATAGAATTTATTGATGAAGTAAGGAACATATAGGATATTATAAAAGTAAAGGAACATATAGGATACTATAGAATTTATCGATGAAATAACTAGGCTCACAGGGATTTCCGTCAGAACAATAATCAGACATAGATTAAAGTTTCAAAGGTAAGTCAGAACTTAATCTGGGTAAATATTTTTGCCTTAATCATATCTTACATTTTTTTTTTAAAAAGTGGTTTAAAATGCCATCAATATTACACTTTGCCATCTATTTACAAAGATATGAAAATTCACGTTCCCACAAATCATGTGAAACGTTGCTCTTAGCACAAAATCTGCTACATCAAACAGAGATTCTGGTCCACAAGGTGGAAAAAAACCCTAGATCTGTGTAGTGTACAAACTCGTAAAAAAAGTAACAGTGTCTTTCAGTGGCCACAAGAGGCACTGATATTCTATGGTGTCCTACAGAATCTGTTATTTTGCCTCTAGTCTTCTATAGCAGGTTAACAGTGTAAGAGTGGCAGACAGGGATGCAGGTTGAATGGGGCCACTGTGAGGGCTGATAGTCCTCCTGCTTGAGACAGGACTGATTTATCTGTGGCAATCATTCTGCAGGCGGGCCATCCATGGACTACCTAATGCACACGTCTGCAGTTCCATGATAAAAGCAGTGGAATGTGACGTACATGCCACTACTGAAATGGCTATTTTTACCACAGAAGAAGGTTCTCCGCCATCAAGGCTGAACAAGATGTATGAACTTTCCTCCTGAACTAAAGGACCCTCCGTGCAGGTTCATGAGCAAGCGTTGCTGAAACAACACTCTTTTAAAAAGGAATCCAGTCTCAAAACATCTGCTAGCTGTACAGTTTGTTATCCCGACAGCATCAAGTGTTTTTACAAGGGTTCATGGCCACACGCATGATTCATTTGCTGCTCTGCTTTACGGACCATAACAGCTGCAATGTCTCCTCCTCATCCAGAACGCTTACCAAGAAATAAACAGCCACCAACAGCCACTCCTGGACTTACATCTGCTTCCAGTTATGGGATTGGCCATTTAAACAGCCAAGGCATGAAAAATTAATCTTGTGAAGAGAAAGAGTACCAGCAACAAGCTTTGAAAACAGTACTTGGCCAGAATAAGTTACATATGGAATTGAGCACTCACTTGTACTTTTCCTTAAACAAATTTAGAACGCAGTCAAATAATTTTTTTTGGATTCTGGATGGAATGTCTGCCGCTCCATATTTAAATCCAATAACTCTGGATTTTGACAGCATTCTTAATAAAGTGGTTACTTAGGGATTAGAAAGGACTAAGATCTGAGGTCCTACTGATTTTTTTTTTAATCTTTAAAAATAAAGAGCAGGAAAACTTATTGACACATAACGGACACCAGTCTTTTCCAATGCAGCCACATAACGGAGCAAAGGGATAAGCACATCTCTTTGTATAGAACTGCAAAGTCCAAAGTAATATGGCAAAAAAAAAAAAAAAAAGTGAATGGATCCAGACAAGCAGCCACTGTATATAGAGAAATGTGGACAAACTACTCACAGCACTTTTCCTCGAGGCCGTCTGTGTATATTTGTCAGCATACATGCACTCAGCCACTTCAGATTTCTGGCTGTCTTTTTTGCAGTTACACCGAACGGACTTTAGACATACAGAAAGCACAAAGCATTGGGTGAAGATGAATAAATTGTACATAAGACAAATATATTTGTTGCCTAAGAATGCACTTCAATGGCCGATTCACAAGACATAGCTTAGAGGCTATACTATTTACATATGAACAATAGTAGAGTATGTTTGTCATACTTGCCGTCTCACCAAGTACAGCTAACCGATGCTTCCCAGATATCAACATTCAAGATTTCAAAATAGTTTACAATTTCTTTAAAACCTTTTACAGGGGTTTAAATTGAGCTGTAGTATTGCTAATCCTTGAATGTGTAAACCATTTATTATAAAGTTATATAATCACAAACAATACTTATTCTTTTTTTGTAATGTGATTTCCCTGTTCAAATTTCCTGCATGTGTGAATATCGTACTTCAGTGATCAAAAAGGTGCCACAGCACAATCTAGTAGTCCCCCCCTCATATGAGCTCCAATTCACTTTGCTGCTCCTACAAAAAGACTTCCCCATTCACTAAAATATTGAGGAAAGCTCAATGTACACCCCCCCCCCCGAACAGGAAATCCCTTGAACACCACTGACAGCTGCTGTATAATTCTGAACCTCACTGAATGTCAACGTAACATCCCACAACATAAAGGTTTTCAGCTGCACTTACATATTACAGGTTGTGTGCATACCTGAAGTCTAATTGCATCCTATTCAAAAGGAATTCACCGAAATTACTTTGGCGATTACATTCTCTGCAGACTTAATATACTTACAAGCCGATGTTCAAGTCGCCTGATTGTTTCATCTTTTTTCTTTAAATCTTCTTTAAGCTGTGTGATCTCACTCAACAAATCATCAGTCTGGCACATAAGACACAAAAGAAAACTAATTTCTGTACTCAGTGAAATGTTTACCTAATTACCTCTCTCAGAGGAAAACTTAAGTTTTGGGAAAAACTATTCTCCATTTTTATTTGAAACTAACTCTGCTTGGAATATTAGGTTCCACTGTGTTTTCATTACCAAATGACAAAAGAGCAACACAAACTGCAGATATTGTGAGTCTTCTACAAGATACAATTGCAGCATGCCAACAGCACTCTTATTTTGTATATTCCTGATTTTGTACATATTAAGTGCCTTTATTTCCTGTGATTTCATCATCTTTAAGATACTGTGGCAAACCAGGGAATACATAAACATAACTTAACACCAATAAAGGTTTTGTGTGTGTGTACATAAAAATAACTGGGTTTTGCTAAGCAAGAGAATGAATATGTGAACTACTCCTTAAAATATCCAGAGAGTTCACCAGATAGCACTGTTAAATGTACCCCAGATGTATTTCACCTCAGTCCCAATTTATCTGTTCCCCTATTGTCTGCTCATTGCTTCAAGCTTAACCAACTTAATTAACTTTGCTAAAAATAAAATTTATTTTTCACCTTTCTGGCGCTGGTTTATCCCATCTGTGTCTATCTAGTGCTAGCATTATTTCTCATTACTCTTGGAACTCAGGTTGTTTGGCCCTTCCATTTCCTCTCTCTCACATTTCATTGCTCAATTGTTAAGAAACTAATAATCTAAAATTCAGTTTTCTTTTTCTAGACTTGGTTTGCTATTTAGTTCACTCCCATCTGAATGACTGTGATGCCTGGAACACCAGTTTTCCATTCAGCTTTTTGACATTTTCTCTGCTAAGAAATGTAATTACATTAATACCTTCATTGTTCTGTCTTCACTGCTACTTTGTCCTTTTTATATCCAATTTAAGTTTGTCAGCATGCAAGAGCCCTTTACATCTATTTTCTTTCTCTCCATTTGACTCTCTGTAAAGCCCAAATTTCTATTTTAATTCTTTCACAACCTCTTTAGCTGCTTTCTTTGACTGAAATGTGTTATCTGATTGATTAGATCGCTACTGGATCCCTTCTAGAAAGGGATCATCCCCATTATGCAGAAGAAGAACAGATTTATACCCTGCCCTTCACTACCCAAAGGAGTCTCAGAGCGGCTTACAAACTCCTTTCCCTTTCCCTCCCCACAACAGGCACCCTGTGAGGCAGGTGGGGCTGAGAGAGCTCTGACAGAAACGGCTCTTTTTCAAGAACACCTCTGACAGAACTATGGCTTGCCCAAGGTCATCCAGCAGGTGCAAGTGGAGGAGCGGGGAATCAAACCCGGTTCTCCCAGATTAGAGTCCGTGCACTTAACCACTACACCAATAATTAGAACTCTTCTAGTCATATTAATTTTATTATCTGATTGGTCATACCACTGTTTTCTTTTCCCCCTTTCTTGTATTGTTCCGTAGCTTAAATAATAAGCATTTGGGGAGGCTTCACTTACCAACTAGGCACTACACAAAAACAGCTTATTTGAAACGTTTCTTTGATGCTTGATTTGATATGATGAATACTAAACTCAGCAAACTTATTATTTGGAATCTTACTGAAAAACTGCCCTTGCAAACGTTTAATGACAAAGAACAAAAATAAACTGTAAAACGGAAATGTACGCAAAGCAACTAGCATTTGCAAGAGTGCAGAAGGTTGGATCTTACAAACTGACAGGCCAAGGAGTCTGGGGAGGCAAATCTTTGTACAATGGTCTAAGACCCCTGAAAAGGTACAACAACGGGTCAGGAAACCTTCACAGACAAAGCACCACAGAGCACAGAAGGCTGCTGCAAGGAATGGAACTGGACTGGTCACGTGGAAGCCAGTGGGGAAGGAGAAGACATGCATGATGCTTCTCCAGAAGCTCCTTGTACTGACAGGTCGTAGGCACCAACCCAGTTTGTTCACTGTGATCTTCCTCTTCCACAAAACAACTCCATGGAATTATTTCAAATTCTTTCTTTCTTTATTAGTCATAGATCAGTCACGATTGACACTCACAGTTATCAGTATACCTGATTTGGCCACCTTAGAGGCGATTTTGTTAGAACAATATGAAAGGGGGGAAATTATTTCTAATCACATCTTCCCTTCAGTTTTCTATCGATACCAATAATTCAGAAGTTCTGCTCTGCTACAAACATAGCCAGTTTACCTTGTATACCGGTTCAGGCTCCTGAGGATCTGGACTTGGAGGCAGTGAAAGAGTGATGTTGTGGAGTGACACATTTTCGTCATTCTACAAGAGAGAAAAGTTCCCCCCATTTATTTGCCGGCCACGTAAAAGTTATAATTGAATTAATACTACAATGAATTCTTCTATGGGTGCCGGAAGTGGTCGTTTGAGAGAGAGCCACAGGGAATTCCAACTAAGTCTTGGGTCAGCATTTCTGTTTCAAACACAGAATTATAAAACCAACGACTGAAACCTGTCGATAATAAAACAAACAAAAGCACATAGGGGACAAGGGGTAGAATCCTTCTTCCTGATGTTCTAGTTTTGCATTTGAGGGATTTATTTACGGAGGTATTCCCATTTGCAGTCTGAAGTATACACAGTTTGGACACAGGTCAGCCTTAAACTCTCACTGAGGTGTTAAAGAAACTGTTCCAAAAAGCCTGTCAGCATAGGAAACAGTGTTTGGCTCCTCATAGCCTAGATATGAAGCTATTCTACAGTAGCATGTGAAATGGTTTATTTTAACTGTTAACGACCTACCATATCTCCTCAGACTCAATTTAGCGAACAAAGCAGCAAAAGCTGACGGACACAATACCCTGCATTGTGCAGTGGGTTGGACTAGATGACCTTGGAGGTCCCTTCCAACTCCATGATTCTATGAAAAACATTGTCCCATAATAAGCTAAATAAAATCCACAATTGAAACTAAAAGCTAATTCATGTAGTTAAAACCAAGGGGAGGGGTTTTTAATCCAGGTTCTTATTTGTGTGTGTGTTTTTTTAAATGACTACGTAAGTCATCTTGAGCAATGAGAAAGGCCAGGAATAAATATTGAAACTAACACAATGTGGGCAAACTACTGAACACAGTTATTGAGAAAATAGAAACATGACCCCATTCTAGCTGTTTCCTCTTTCTAATGAGTCGGCTACATGTTTAGAAGAAGCAAACAAAGCTTTGAAACATGTCAGTTTTTCTATGAGGAGGTATTTTTATTTTGTAACCCAGTGCATATCCAGTCATACTAGCCTCACCTGCAATCTACTGGTACAGTCCAGACATGCTCCTGTCCAGACAGCAACCATACTTGTGTGGAACTAGGCTTCTGCATACATTTCTAGCTGGATGGGAAACGACATGTACGAACAGCTGCTAAATGCACAATTCCTCAGCCTGCTCCACCTAGGGCCGCCGGCGGGGAACGGGCCACTTGGGGATGGGGTGGTGGTGGATCAGAATGGTTTACAGAGCAATCCACAGCACATGCTTCAAAATCCACTGACTTCAATTAATACAAGGGTATGGCTCTGTTGAGATTGCACTGTATGTCAGTCTCTACCTTCTCTGTCCCAAACAACTGATTGCATCGTATTCAGAATCTCTGACTAGGGCCATTTTGTTTCTAAACTGGGATTCTAGATATTAACTCTGCTGGCGGTAGAAAGTGCCATCAAATCAAAGCTGACTTATGGCGACCCCCGCAGGGTTTTCCAGGCAAGAGACATTCAGAGGTGGTTTGCCACTGCCTGCCTCCACGTCCCACCCCCGGTATTCCTTGGAGGTCTCCCATCCAAATGCTAGTCACGGCTGACCTTGCTCGGCTTCCAAGATCCGGCAAGACTGGACTAGCCTGGGCTACCCAGGTCAGGGCAGTCACAAAAGGCTGTCTAAAAGACCATAATTGCCTTCTTCCCCCATGGTGGCTCCCCCCCCCTTTTTTTACTTTGCTGCAATAAAGCTATAAAGCTGCAATAAAAATATTTATATGGAAATGTCTATACTACGGAAAACTGAAAATTTAATATTATCACAGAGTACGCATGTGTATCATGTACATATCTGTTCAGGAACTGAACCGGCCAGAGGAGGTGATAAATGTAGGCTCACACAGGACTCCACCCCAAGTGGAAATGAACAGAAGAGCATCTAAATCTTTTTAGTTTTGTGCTAAGGTATACAGAAGTTATAAATATCAAGGATTACGAACACTGGATGAAGACTGCATCTCCTTTAGAAGCGCCCTGGTACTAAAACGTCATTTACCAATTTTTCTTTTTGTCCAGATGGCCTGTATCGAAGTCTTAGTATATTTTCCAGAGTCGATGAAAGAAACATAACCTTGAGCAAAAGCTACATAGCTGCATTTAGGAACGCAGAATGCTGAGCTCAGTTATTCAAAATAGGTTTCATCATCTATGATGTCATAAACATTCATAAGAAGTGAACTCCTCTACACAGTCAGTGCTGGTACGTTAAAGGGAAAAGATCACTTTCAAGGATTTAGTTTTTATTTAAGTGGAAATAATTTCAGCAAACCATAAACTATAAGTAATTACATTAAAGAACTCGGTGTTTTCAATTTTATAAAGTTTAACTTAATGTTCAAAAACGTGGGTAATCATAGCTATTGTGATTGTATGAGAATGTTTCTGGCCAAATACACTTTATTTACTACAGTATTTGTTTTCTGCTTTAAACTGCCCCCCCCCCAGCAGTCTTTCAACATGGCAGAAATAACTGCTTCAGATGGAAGTAGGGCATGCAGTTGTTCGCAGCTCTCTCATATACAGAGTATGTTTACATTTTTTCTCCTAGCAAATGAAGGCATTTATACTTTTATTTAGAATCGTTTTATTGTGTGTGGCCATAGGCCTTCACAATATCAAAACACTCTCAGAAAGTTTATACATTAACATATTAAAATAATAATAATTTATTAAAAACTTAACCTCTAGGAACATGCGTAAAACACCTGTTAAGACTATCTTGGCCTCTAATAATTAAAACCGATATTTTAAAATCTCTCCCTTGGTTACAATGGTACTGTTTAATTTCTTTGCTCTTTGTTTTAAATTCTGTAAGTATGTCCACCCATACAATTTTACACCCTAAGATACAAATTATGCATTTTATATATTTATAAATCAGTAAGAGTAGTTTAGGTTTGACAGGGGCATTTCATTTTTTTTAAAGTGTTACATAACTTCAATATTTCCTGACATTTTACATATCTAACTGAATTACAATTATTCTGCATGAAAAATGCTGTGGAGTTCAGTGACTGGACAGACCAGTCACTTCCTATTTTTGCTCTGGCTTTCTGCAGCAAAGGGACAGCTGTTAGGAGAAGGAGGTTCTCCTCAAAAGCATGTTTCTCTCTTCTTGTACTCACCTAATTCTCCCAAAGGCACTTCCAGGGTGATTCTGCCTCTAGCATTCACTCCACATTTTAACCGGGAGGAAAAAGTGCAGCTCAAAACCACATTCAAATAACTTGGGGCAACGGCCGTACTGACTGCAGAGTCACCCCTGAATGGCCATAAAACTATGCTGAAAGTACCATAAAAGCTGATGATCAAAGAAAGTGAAAGTGGCATGGGGTGCAGAGGCTACCATAAAATCCGATGAGCAAAGGAAAAGCAGCATGCGATGCAGAGCGGAATTTCTGTTCCAACATGGGTTTCCTAAAACAATGGAGGGAAAAGCCAATGCAGAATCAGCCCTAGCCAGATCTGTCACCCAGTCTAAACACCTCCCAAAGGAGGAGCTATGGAAGAACTGGGCAGAATTCTGTGATACAAGACAGACTGGCAAAGGTTACTTTGGTCACAGCTGTACCTCTCAAAACGGTGCTGCAAACTATCGGTTCTCTCAAAAGCACAAAACAAGCCTCACATAACCACCATAAAGATGAAGTGCACGTGACGTGACAGTCCAATACATGGAGAAGATCACCAGCAAGACAATCAACCCTGAAAACTTTTTTGCCAAGAAAACTAAAATCAAATGTAGCAACAGACGCCATGATAACGATAGAATATGCATACAGAGAACAGATTTCTACTACTATTCCATGCCAGAGAAGACACAGAAATTCATGGATATCTCAGCCAAGGTGACAAAAATCCTATATGGAAAGTATTTTTACAGTGGTGCCATGTGAAAGCAAGTGCATCCACAGAATAGACATAACATATAAAGTGTTTCACAAACCTGATTAAGTATCCTTTTCATTTTTAATAACTGAGCCTTCACAGTGGTGCAGTCTTGAACCATATGCCGAAGGGTCATTTCATCAAGCATCACAGTGTTTGGCGGCAAGCCCATAAAGGGTGGATACAGGCATGGTGCTCCATACCCTTCAAGGTGACCAACAGGAGGAGGGTCTAAATAGTTGGAAGTCCTGTAAGATGGGGAGGGGGGGGATTTAAGGACAGTTATATATTGCAGTTGAGCTTGAAGCACATTATGAAAACTTGTGTATTCGTTTAACTCAGGGGTCCCTAACATGGTGCCTGTCAGCACTATGGTATCCTCTAACACCTTTCCTGCTGCCCAAGTTTTGTTTTGTTTTTTAACCAGGTAGGGCATTTGTCCAGCAAGCCTTCTAATTGGCCACTGGAGATTTGATTGGCTGGCTGTGCATGTAGTCACTGTGTGACTGAAAGGTAAGCTGTGGCAGCCGCTGTTTTGTGGCTGTGTCCACCATGCTTTTTCAGAATTCCAAAGGGCCCCATAGGCTGAAAAGGGTTGAGGGCCCCTGTTTTAACCAAATGACGTATTTAAATTAGAATTAACAATGCTAGTGAATTCTTTTTGATGCGTCAAGAAAAGCTACAGTTCTGCAGCTCTAGGCAAAAGGAGAAGAGTAACAGTTTACTCTGCAAATTGCAGAATTAAATATCACTGACACTAGACATTTTTTTTTAAAGATGGTTTATCCTCCCAAAAAGAAGCACATTACCTTGGGATCATATACTGAAAGGTAAACTAAAATTCCAGGCCATAGATCACATTGACAGATCAGGTTACTCTCAGTTTATGAACATTTTCTTGACAGGAATCTTATGTAAACATCCATGAATTTATCCAAAAAGATCGGCTCACCAAAACTTATTTGTTCAGCACTAATTCAATTCATATATTCCTATACCTCTTTGGGCTTTAATTCCAGCATCTTTTCGAGAAAGAAGAGTATTAACAAGACAAAAAATGCACCACCTTAACCAAGCATGCTAGATAACACTTAAATGGTAACATTATGATAATCAAGTGAGTATAGATGCAATGTTCATTTTTTTAAAGGATTCGTTTTTTAAGGATAGTCTATCCATGAAACAGTGAGAAAAAGAAGTACTAAACAGGGGTCCCCAACCTTTTTGAGCCTGCTGAGCCTGGTTAAGTGTGCGGACTCTTATCTGGGAGAACCGGGTTTGATTCCCCACTCTTCCACTTGCACATGCTGGATGACCTTGGGCAAGCCATAGTTCTGGCTCAGCTGTTCTTGAAAAAGAGCAGTTTCTGTCAGAGTTCTCTCAGCCCCACCTACCTCACAAGGTGTCTGTTGTGGGGAGGGGAAGGGAAAGGAGTTTGTAAGCCACTCTGAGACTCCTTTGGGTATAGTGAAGGGCGGGGTATAAATCCAATCTCTTCTCTTCTTAAAATTTTGAGAGGGGGTGGGGGAGGACCTCAAGGAAGCTGAGCCAAACACAATACCTCCCTCCTCATGGCAACTGAATACTTGAATCTGCCTTTTCCAAAGTTCAGCCATTGGTCTGTCAAGGTTAGTATTATCTGTACTTTGGGTTGGAGGCATGGTCTAATCACTGGAAGGATAGCAAGTCTGGAAAAGGAGGGGGCAGGCTTCTACTCCTGACTGTCCATCTCCCTTCATGCAACAGCCCAGACCCTAAGACTGGAATAAAGCTCCCCTGTGCATTGAAAAAGAAGGTGATGGCAACAGTCAAGCTCCACGCCATCACTCTCGCACCCCCCTCAGCCTCATTGTATTCCATGATCAATACTCTGGCTGACAAATATTCTTGGTGACGCTCATATCATTTAAATGTCTTTCAAGGTTTGGGGGCAGGGGGTGTTTTCAAAAATGTCCTGTAAAAAAATGATAAAGGCTCATTCTCAGAGTAGAGAAGGGGGGACTCAAAAGAACGGAAGGAAAGTCCAAGTAGGGAGGGGGGGAAAGGAACAGTGAATAAAAAGAAATTAAGGAAAGCAGGGCAGGAGGGAGGGAAAAAAGACTGGAGACTAAAAAGAAGGAAAGCCTGAAGGTGGAATGGAACCACACACTGGCTAAAGAAAGCTTACCAGTCCTCTTGAAAGTGGGAAACTTTCATTTCAGTGAAGCCACCCAGTAACAAGCCCTGCTTTACAATGACTCCGCCCACTTTCTGAAAAGCTCTGTATGTGCCAGGAGGTACAGCAGAGTGCCATGATACCTGTGGTCAACATGTTGGGGAACCCTGCACTAGACCAATATGTGCTGATTTTTAAATATGTTTCCTACATGAGAAGTATCACTGATAGGACTACTCCTTTAAATAAAATTTGCATCTTCCATCTTGCTTCCCCCCATAGAGTTGCCAGCCTCCAAGTGGGGCCTGGGGATCTCCCGCTTTAACAACTGATCCCCAGCTGAAAGAGATCAGCTCCCCTGGAGAAAATGGCTGCTTTGAAGGGTGGACTCTATGGCATTGTACTATGCTGAGGCCCCTCCCCTCCCCAAACCACGCCCTCTCCTGGCTCCACCCCCAAAGTCTCCAGGTATTTTCCAACCCAGACATGGCAACCCTATCCCCCCACGACATGAATTCAGATTTAGATTCTATACTTCTTACGGAAGAAGCTTAATTTTGCTTATGCTGATCTGTAAAGCATCACATACAGGAATGCCACTATACAGTTATCACCAACAGAATTTCTCTCTTTTTTGCCCTTACCTGTTAAGATCATTTCTGCCATGGTGATAATGGTCGGTATGACCGAGATGATAATGATCTTGAGTGGTCCAGCGTTGTGGCGTCCTCTTCCACAGCCCTTCCTTCTGTTGTCTGATATTTCTTTCTGGTCGGTCATAACGATTCATATTTTCACAATCCACTGGGGTTAGGAGAAATGTTCATAACATTGGTCTACAAAGAGAACTTATAACCACCCAGAAATCTTAAGGAGCTATTAATTAGCCACTACTTATTAGTAATGTATAATTATATACATATTTATGTAAATAAGTTTGGTATTAAACTGCTGCTAATTTGCTTCTTTTGTTTTTATAATATTGTGATATCTTCTATGTCTAATTATTGCTATGGACAACCTTAAGCACAAGAGAGGTGTGCAAAGAAGAGAAGACGACTTTGCAGAGGGCAGCAAGAAGACAATATATAGGGCAGTGAAGTCGGCACCTTCTCTTCTGTTAAGTGGCATTCCTTGTCTGTCTCCAGATTGCTACTCTTAGGACAATATCCGCTTCTTCTCGGAAATTTTGCCTGTTCAAATCCCACACTTACTCTCTCTCTCAGCTAATGATAGAGTTAGGAAATTATCTCTGACTCTCCTCTTCACTATCAAGTATGTTAGTTCCTGAATAAAGCTTTATCTACACTTTAATCAGGTTGTGCACCTTTGCTGTGATAATTACTCTGCCAACATTAACTTAAGTGTCTAAATTCACCTTCAGATAACCCTAAATCTGAAGTAGCAAAAATTTAATACTAGGAATACTCATTTAAGCAATAGGCTATTTCATTTCGCAAGAACTGAAACAAGGCATAAACTGATGTCTTTAGAATGCAGTAGTATTTTGTGCTAGGAATAATCTTGTTACTATTAGAACCTTAATATTCCAAGAAGAACTTTTTAAACTGACACATAGCATTTCACTTCGTAAGGCAGTTTGCTTCTTCAGTACCCTTACAGAAAGCATTCATTAGGCTGCACAAGATGAAACGGATTTTAAAAATGACTCTGTCACTTTGCAGACAGGTTGGTTTGAAAGTTTTATCTGACAGCTACTTATGACACGTCAAGCCAAAACATAAATTTCAGGCAAACAAGAAAAGTTTCAAGAAACCCTTTAGAAGTTCAACTTACCCGAATACTCTGTCTTCACATTTTTAGCCCCTGACTACAAGCAGCTTTTCATAACAGAGCTCTCTCTTACTCTGTGTCTGAGTAGGCAACAGTTTTGCATAAGAGTGGTAAACAGGCCTTCCTTCCTGCCCATCCCCTTCTTGCGCATTGTTGGGAAGTGAGCCCAGTTTGACCCTGTGATTTAGAACTACCATGGCTCCTTCACAGGGAACATACTTGTCCCACTAGAACAGCTTCTATAAATAGAGTGCAAGTTTCACCCCAGACTTAAAAATGGAACAAGGAAAATAACAAGCCTAAAAACTAATCTAGCGTTCTTGCTTGCATCTGAAAGATGGTTTTAATAATTATGGACTGGCAACAAAGTATATTTAAATATTCCACTCAATCCTGCATTAAAACATTCTTAAATCTAGATCACATTCTGAGAACTGTTGAATAGTTTAACAGCTTTAGTTCAAGACATCATGAGGTCTTTACAGACAGCCTTGACACCTCTCTGGCGAAACTCTTTTAAGCATTATGTGCAATTCATCTGCTTAAATGTTTACTTGAAACATGATGCAGAACAAACTGTATTACACAGTTAATAGGGAACACTCCTTAAAAGTAGTTAAAATTCAGAGAATAGTTTTAAGGTTTAGAGAAATGTAGCTGCATAGAACTCGCCCACACTAGATCCTTCAGAAGAATTAAACAGTATTTTTCAGAAGCCAAGAACAGAGACCTACTATGGTTGCTGATGGCCTTGGGAGAATCTTGAGTTCAAGGACCTCAGTGGTGGTGACAGGCAAAGGGTGGAAAGGGGGGAGGCAATCCATGTAGCAAGTGGGGCACTTGTGCATTAAGACAAATTAGATTTCTTTCACTAACCATTATCACAGGGCACATCTTCTGGTAAGTCGACATCAAGCATAAGATCATCATCTTCAAGATCACATGAATCAAGGTTATTCAAGATATCCTATAAGGGAACGAACATACAGACGGCAAAAAATGTATATTTTAGCCTGCTTCTTCAATGTACACTTATCTATCTGCATTTAAAAATTCATATTTCACTCACTGATTATACTTCCCAGACACCTGATACACTAGCAAACCAGAGTAAGAAGCTATGAAACTGCAATATATTTTTTAAAAGGCACATCATCTACTCAGGATTCTGGAGAAATTCCAGTACAGTTAGCTCTTTCAGCCGTCCTTGGCATTTCTACAAACAAGGGAATAGGTTTGAGAATAGCGTGTGTGACACACTCAATCCTGACCAACTGCTAAGAGACTCAATGAGATAGACAGCAAAGTCAGGCCAAAGATTTCAGTAGAAACATCTCCAAAATCATATTCTCAGAATCAGGAAGTAAAAGGCAAATTATGGAAACATTCATCTATGTGGTTTTGAAGTTAAGTGACTTTTAACAGGTTACTGGCATAACATTAGAATGTAAAGTAGTTCTCGTTTTATTCAACAATTGAGCAGAATGTTTTTGAATTGGAAAGTCTTTGTAGAAAGATACAGTACTTCCCATTACTAAAAGTACCAAAATGCATCTATCACAACAGACTGAGCAGTCCTGTATCTCAAATGCAAGAAACTTGACTGGCTCTAACATGTAATCACCTTGCATCAGTAAGATAAATAAAGGAAAAGGGAGAGAAAGAAGTGCACTAGTAGAACATAATACAGATAAGCAGTATAGAAATTGGTATCATCCACTTTAAACCCCATTTCCCTTGGCCATACCACAATGCCAGGTTCAGAGTCATACTGCATGTAAGTGATAGAATTAAAAGTGAAGTTGCAGTGAAGTTGCATTTTCCCCATTGCCTTACAGCCACTACCTACAGCATGTGACAAAGTATAGACCAGAAAATCTTGGCTCTAAAAATGGCATTCATCCTTCCCAAAGAAAAAGAAAAAAAGACCAACTGCAAAATATAAACTTCTAGTTCATGGCAGCTCAAAATGCAGCAACAAAGTCCACTGCATGTCACAGAGTCCCCTACCCGCCCCCCATAATCAGTATTGTGTAATGTCCATACCTTCAGGAAAGAAAAAAAAGAGAGGACAATTTAAAAACAAAAACCAAAACCTTTCGAGCTACGAGCAGGAGCTACGGGCAGAAGCTAGGCTTGGGCCTATTATTGCTGGTACTACGGCAGCCTTGTGGCAAAGTAAGGGAGGCCTTCCAGCCTAATGAACTTGTTATCCAACCAGGAAGCAGCAGCCACTGACACTGCCTGCATCTTCAGGCTCTCTGAAGCCACAATCACATGGGCTGGCTATGCCTGTTGTCATGGTGACAACAAATGCTACTGTTAGCACTGTGCAAATACTACTCCTCCATCTCCCCCTTCATTGGTTGACTCAAGGCAGCCAAAGTATGCAAAACCAACCTCAAAATGTGCTGAACTGGAGATTACTGGAAAACCTATTTGGACAAATGTCAACCAGCAACACCAGTAGGATCCACCGGCATTTAACAAGGTACTTTGCGGTAGCTTGCTTAC